GGCATTGTGATTCTATGATATTGCCAAATATTACATTACTAATGTTATAGCCTGCATTTTTTGTAGTGCAATGTCTATTTTTATAAAAGACATCACACTAGTGTTGACTGTATCTAATTTATTTCTTTAACATTCAGAACAATTTTGTAATTTAAGCAACATTAGGCATCATGCACGTATAATTCCTCCACTCTAAATCTGGTCTTTTGCTTTATTGTCCAGCATAAAAGTTCTGTATTGTAATAGAAATTTGGTCCCATAAAACAATTAATTGTGTAGTTGTCTCTATAGGAAGCTATTTTTAGTGAGTGAGGCACTTTATGGGGTTGTACTTTGCTGGGGAACTTTGGACCCGATCCTGCAAACGAGCAACAGTTTCCTTCTGTGAAGCAAAAACAGTGATAAAGGGTTGCATAACGTCTTAAGCTAATATAATCACCATTACCAGATGATCTGTGTTATTTGACATCACTTATTGGTGTTTGAAATTGCTAGCTCAATCTCAGTCTCTTTCTTTGAACTGCAATGGGGCTGGCTCAGAAGCTAAACTTAATTAAATTCAAAATAAACTTCACAATGAAAGCAGCAACAAGTGGAAACATACGGAACATATGGAAAGCTAAAATGTATGTACAGTATAACAGCATTTCACAGATGTGGAGGTTTAGTTGGTTATTCTTATAAACTGCAGATAACATTAAGATATACCATGTGAGAAAAAAACTGGAGAAAAAGAATGAGAAAGAACTTAAAGAATAAGTGCAGTGTGAACACTTCTCTCTCATATTAACTCAATTTGGTTTTACATATTGAGTTAATTAATCAGCTTTAGGCAGATCTTCCATAGAAGAAAATTCAGTGAAAAGCAAAAAAAAAAAAAACTTTTAGAAGCACTTAAGTTATGATTAACGTACACATTTTAAACAAAAATTAAACCTTAATTTCTAATGAGTTTTGAGACTATTCAGAAAAATAATTGGAAAACTTTAGTGTCCTGAACTCTTATGAAACAATGAGCTCCTTCAAGTTTCTGTTCTTGTGATGTGTTAATTGGGAACACATTGACAAAGTAAACCACAGCCTCTTAGATCAAATGTCTACTGAACTTTTTTCCTCTTAAAAAAAGAAAACACATTGTTACACTTGGGAGCAAAAAGTGATTTTAACAATCCATATTAAAAGATGGAAAATTACAATTTTAAATGGTTATCAGAGCCCTATTTCCATACTGAAAGCAGAAACAGAACCAATATGTATTTGTATAAAAAGGTAAAGCATTATCAATATAAATTTGAGGATCTTACAAAAATGTCCGAGATGAAATAAAAAAATTACATTTGTTTATGTTTGGGTGGAAAATGACTGACTGGCACTGGTATCTGTTGTATTGATAAATTCAAACCCATCTTGTTACCAGTTTGCAATAATATGTTCAGACGTTAAAAAGTCTGTATTAACCTTGACCCCAAGAACATCAAGATCTAATAATGTTTCACCATTGTGAGCTCTGAGTGAGATGGCTGACTTATCTTTATTGAAAGTAATTTCAATATTGTAACTCCTGTCAAACTTTAACACTACATTTGAGCAGTTCAGCAATACCCTACATATCTCTATTTTAATTAGATTTATTTATAGGCTTTACTCACTTTTGGGTGGGAACATTATCTAACCGCAAAGACAAAGCTGTGAACCCCCCCAAAAAAGAAGTGGGACCTAATACTAATGCAGAATACTTCAGTAAGCTTGGGTTAGATCATTAGGTCTGATCTAATATATGCGTGGTAGGCTTTGAAAGCTCACAATCCTAAGGATTTGATTTGTAAGGACAGGAATTCCTCGATAAGCAGCAGAGGTTAAGTCATAAACTTGTAAGTATAGTGAGTGATACATTGTTCTAGTCACCACTTTGCTTTTTGTTTTCCCTTAATGTTTTTTTTTTTAAATAGGACAATGATACAAAGGTGAGCAGAACTGGGTTGAGTTAGGATTTGACTAACTGAAACTTTTATTTAGAACTGAATTGAAAGCTTTTCATGTCACATACACTTGACAATTTAATTGATGCAAATATTTGAAAGGTACAGTAGCCATTGAATATTTTGAGCCTAGGAAAAAGGTAAAGAAACTAGAGCACTTGAAGAACTACATTTAATATATCTGCCTTACACCTATATACCTCAGCAAGAAAGATAAAGAAGTGATAAAGATCTCATTGTCATGGTTATAAACAGGAACTGTAATTACTGTCATAATAGTGGAAACCTGAGTAGTGCTCAGGCCAGTTCATTATTTTTTTACAATTTTATGAAGGTGTTGCATGAGCATACCTTTATAAAAAAAAGGTCATTCAGCTTTGGGCAATCTTGCAATCTACTCTTGAATTGAATTCCAACCTCATTCTGAACCAAAATTGACAAGTCCATTAGGAATGAATGCAGAGGCCATATGCAGACATTACACTTGACCTTTTCTGTACTGCTTCCAACACTGTGTAATGCCATCCATCAGTGGAAGTATGATGTCATCTTCAGAAATAATGCTATTAGCTATGCAGTATGCTCAGGTTTCCTCATAAAATATAAAAAGTACACTGCTTTTCTTACATATTTCAAAAGCCTTGACTACACACAATAGGTGGATCCATATTTCCCCCCAGGGTCTGAGAGAAATCTCTTCAGTTAGTATTACTTCACTTTTTATCCCTGTTAAAGAGGAATGGTATAGGTTCTTTCATGGATAAGCGTTTAAAAAATAAAGCATCTGCCCTCAGACTTTACACATTTATGCCAATACAATTAAATAAAGCCTTTTACAAGCATACAAAAATGTTTTAAGTATCTCAAAAACAGAAAGAGGTGCATCACATCTTGGAAATCATGGGTTCAGTCTGTGTTGCTCTGCTTTCCGGGCTTTACTTACAATGATGGAACTGAAAGAAATGCATGCCCAGCTTAGAGAGGAGGAAAGTAGTGAACTTTGCAAGCTAGCTGTTAAAGATGTTTGTGGTTTGAGTAGGGTTTATGGTGGATATGAAGGCCGTGTGACATCATCTGTGTGCTCAAGAAAGCAATGGTAACCTGCCATGAGGTTTGAGGTAATGACGAATGCTATACAACTTGCAGCAACTGTCAATTACAGGTGACACCCCCATCCCCTTATAGCTGTAAGGGTCTCCTGGTAAGAACAGTGGATATGTGAGAGCCCACAGTAGTGAACATCCCTTAGGGCCTACTGCAAGTCATTCTGCACATTTAGCACCTTAATGTGGCACTGCTTTGTGGAGGTTTTCTTTAAAAGGGGATGACTTACAGAACATTGCAGTGATGGCATAATGATTCATATGTCCTATATATATCTGCTAGCTACTACTTTTGTTCTCAAGTGATACATGTTTTTAAAATACTTATTTAATCTACAGTTACTGTTAAAATAATTTACTCTAAGGTTTATACATGTGTAAAACAATTTAAAGCATGATTGAAAAACTTCAGAATACCAGGGGAATACTGGAAGAAATAACCTGTATTTTACATATTTTACATTAGCATTATAGTTCTACAGTCTGCTAAGGGGACTGCTGTTGTGGTTAGTAGCTTCCGTCTTATAAATAATTTGACATACTGGGAGCTGGTAGCACCCACTATTAGTGTGCTTATCCATACATATTTTAAAATGTGATTCCAGAGTTTCTCTAAACCAGAATTATAGTTCTACTAGATAAGCTTAGTTTTGCTACTCAATATAACAAAGGCTACAAAGGAATTGAGGCCATTGGGTACATCTAGCTTGTTTGGATGCTAGTTAATATATCTAATGATCACATCCAGCTGTTTCTTGAAAGAAGTCAGGGTACCGGCTTTGGCTTCGACAACATAGCTGTGCACTCTGTTCCAGACTCTCACATAATATAAAGATGCAGTTGGAGTTGCACTGTTTTTTTATGCAAGAGTAACAGAAAAATTGGAGAAAAAAAAACTTGTACCATTTTAGTCATCAATTCACCTTTTTTATCCCTAAATGTTTTTTTAAAAAACACAGGAACAATGATCAAACCATAAGACATTACAGCTCACGTTAATTTCAAAAGATTTTCGATACTTTTATAACAATGTTGGTCACAGATTTATGAACCATCATTGGAGGTTTTGGATAAATTCAACTTAGAAAATGCATCTGTTACCTTTGGGGAAGGGAAAACATTGTTTGGCTTTACTACTGAGTGATTAAGTGCCCAATTACATCAGGCTATCAATGCTAAAATCTCTTTAAAAAAAAAGCATTGATACTGGCATTATTTTTGTTTACTTAAGTTTAACCAATTTTTGGGAATTAGTTTCAAAATGGTTTCAGACAATTTGCAGCTCAAGATATCAGTTAAAACCAAACATATTTTTGGCTCACTTCTGGTCCAATTAATCTGAAAATAAGTCTGGGCATTAATGCATTTCTAGACTTTAATATCATCAATTTGGCACTTGAAGGATTCTATTAATTCTACAGGTACTATGGAATATGGTGATATATGGTTCTATTTTTTCCCCAATATACAGAATTTAATAAACCCATCTATTTATTCAGGATTTAGGTGTATATGCATGTCAGACAAAATCATATTAGAAGTGCAGATAGTTTTTTCCAGATTGGACAGCTTCTCCTTAATTACTTTCCATTCTACCGTGTATAATTTTTTTGTCATTTCATTTTTTTTTGTCATGTCTCAAATCAACATTACATTAAAATTTGGTTATCTCATCTTGGCTCGTCTTTACAACAGTCCCACTCATTCAGTGAAATGGGAGATTAAATGATTCCCCCAGTTTCTTCCACTTCTAACAGGTTTGCAGTGATGAACACTTTGTTTTGATGTCTACAATTTTACTTTACTGAAACTGTATATTTCACATTATTTTATTTTCAAAGCACAGCAGTAGTAAGTATAAAGCCTGTGCTAAAATGTAAGCTTATTTCATGAACTTAAGTTTTTTTTTCCTTTGTAGCTTTATATTCAAGCAAGACTTCAGGTGGAATGGGCAAGATTGTTGCGCCCCACAATCCAGTTCTTCCTGATTGCAGCCTCTGTTTATGTGGGCCTCTCTCGTGTGTCAGACTACAAACACCACTGGAGTGATGTTTTAACAGGACTCTTGCAGGGTGCTGCTGTGGCCATACTGATTGTGAGTAAACGATGAGTCAAGATACAGATAGGTTTAGTTGAGCTTTTATTTTTCATATCTGCCCCGAAGATTGCTTACACTAGTCACCGAAGCTTTCAGTGACTCTGTAGTATTCTTTCAATGTTATTGAACGGTCTATAACACAGCCTTTCAATCACATCAGTTGAAATTACAGAAACTAATATGACTAGTTCACTGAATTTACAGCTGTATAAAGTAAAACATTTATGTACTTCTTTGAAACATACTAGGGAAAAAACATCCAATGCATATAAAGTAATTTTCGAATATTCTTATCCACCACATTTGTACACAATTTCAATAAATTTGGTTTAAATTGTGTACAAATGTAGTGTTTAATCCCATTTCATTTAATATTCTAAACAATCTCTATGTTCTAGCTTCTAAATTGTTTTTAAAGCATGCATAAAAAGCACAAATATCAATGAAAAAACATAAGTAAAGCAGAACTGTACAGATTGTTTATGTAACTTGTATTTATTTTTGTATATTCCTTTAAATTTAACATGAGTAAAAACACTGTTTACCATAACTGAAAAGAAACTGCCATCAGGCAATGCTGCTCTGCTCACACATTCCTTGCAGTACTCTACACTTTGTCTCTTGCAAATTCATACTGAGAAAGTATGAAATGAAAAAAGGAGAGAGGACAACTGTAAAAGGAAATCTATAGATTACAAAATAACATATGGGATAACAGGGATATGTGAAAGTCAGATTTGTACAAGACAGCTTCACACACTGGATAACTGGTTATCAAATAACTTTTAAATGTGAACCTATTGAAACTTAGTGGGGGTCTAAAATACAGTAAACACAAAAACATTAATCAAAATTAGATTGTAACCAGTCATAAGAAGCTCTTGGACTGATTACTTTTTATTTAAATCCAATCTTCCATCTTCATACAGATGGTCAGAAGAATCACAATCATTCTCCTATGCCAAATTGATGTACCTTTCCTTCCTCTTTCTTTAATGCAGGTTGTATTTGTATCAGACTTCTTCAAGACAAGGGTTGCATGCTTTCCACCTACAGAAGAAGAAAGGTCCCACTCAACTTTACATGAAACCCCCACTAATGGAAACCATTATGGTAGCACTCATTAGGCACAGAAGACCGATGTGGACAACCTGTGAATGTAACCCCGCTTTTTGCCACGTCAAAAATATACTCAAGTCTGGAGGATTACTGAACCTTCTGTCTACGTCTTGATTATGTAAAATATGCCTTGGCAAGACTGCTGCTACTATCAAAGCCTAACATCTATCTCACAACTAAACCTGACTATTATGTACATGAAATAGCACTTCTTTATCTTTTTTTAACTTTTCTTATAAAAAACAGCAGTCCAATTTCAGTATTTTTTTTATTAAAACTTAAAACTATGTACAAAGCTATGTTTTTAAGCTTTTGAAATTTATCATGCTTGTTCACGTATGAACAAAAATAAAATATTCAAAAAATGTACCCTCATTTCTTGTACAACTATTATAGAAGACTTAGTTTGAGTTCAGTCAAGTGACTAGTTACTTAACTGCAGGTAAAAAATAATCCACTTATAAATAAAGACTGGCAGCAAACACAATGTCTCTCTTGATCTTCGTGATACCTGAAAAAACAAAGGTACAAATGAACAACCTTGATTAAATGTGTGACGGTCAATTAGTAAATATTGTTTAGATATTTCTAAAAGTCTATTACAAAGATCAAAGAAAACTCAATCTTTTAATTACATACAAAATGTACCAAAACTTCTTTAGCTGGCTTTTAACATTACCAAATGTCAGTAAACACAGTATTATAAAAATATTATATAATAAGTACTGTATATATCATGCTTGCACAGAATGTAACCCACTAGACTCAAAACCCCCAAGGAGCTCCCATTCTATGTATCTGCATTGTACATACTATGTCACATTTTTCTTATAAGTAGATAAAAGAAAAAAAAAACTTACCTTCTGCAAACTTGTTTTCCAACTCAGTGTTTCCTATGGCCTTTGCGGCCTGACACATTTGTCTCAGCAGCTCCTCCAAACGTCTCATACACCGGATAATGCTGCCTGTGGACAGTTGGAATCAGTAGGTGCAATGAATGTTATGAAGGTACAGAGTTGTCACTTGTGTACAATCTGGTTTCTTACTGATGTACTACATCAAAAAAGTCCATTACTATTATACTAATGTAACTAAAAGCATATAGATTACACTAATTGCATATATTTATAGATTTATATATATATATTAGAAATACAGAGGTAAGTCCAAAAAAATGAAACACCTGGGTAAATGAGGGACACCAAGTATTTTGAAATTGAGGGCTTCCACATGTGGTTCATGTTTTTATTAGGCAAATAAAATAAAAGGAAGCTGAACATCATGTATAAATTCTGGACTGGCATGGTGCCTATATAGCTAACATGGCTATAAAAGGAAACCTTGGTGACTTAGAAAAAGTGGTAATTATTGGGGCACATTTGGAAGGAGCTTCAATGACCAAGACAGCAAGCTCAACTTGCTGATGTTTCGTGAGCAATGGCGAAGCCAGCATGGAAGCCCAAAGGAAGGACATCATCAGCAAAGGGCAACTGTGGGCGGAACCTCAAACTCCGGATTTAGATATCGGTGTATTAATTTGAAATTCAAAGCAAAACAGGTGAGCAAGATCAACTGACTGCAAATTGTATCCTATGGTGAGTGCAGCCAGTTTCACCAGAAAAGGGTCCATCCAGAATTCCACAAGTCCAGTGGTGCAAAGACTACAGGCAAGAGGCTACCAAGTAGCAGGGAAATGACAGATGAGTTATTCCTCATCATGTTCACCATGACAAACAGACAGACACACATATGGTTCTACAGCCCAGAGAGGTAGGTCCCAACAATGAAGGGCTCTGTTGGTTCCATACCGTTGTGTCACATTTTCCTAGCATGTTTGGGTATGGGTGAAATCATTGCCTTAGAAGGCAAGCCAATTGCTGCTTAGTGGTATGGAATGATTATCTTCACCCCATTTTGCAACATTTCTCTCCTGCTGGGAGGGATGTCTTCCAGGATGACAGTGCTGACATCCACAGAGCATGTGTGGTTGTCAAATGCTTTGATGAGCATGACACTGATATTATTCATATGTCATGGTCTCTTTGTTCACCAGATCACAACATAATTGGGCATTTATGGAATATTCTGAAACAGTGCCTCATTTTTGTTTCTGAAATGAAGTCTGAGATGTTTTCCATGATTGACTTTCTCATGAAAGAAAGTTGTCACATCCCTCTTGCAAAAAGTCCATGCTGGTAGACTCTATGCCACCGTGCATGCAGGCTGTACTGGCTGCACATGGTAGACTAACCTTTTAAGCAACTTTTAATTGATTCTTATGAGGTTATGCCCACTGCCTAAATACACACTCTTAGAAAAGCAGAAAAACTATAGGTACATTGAGCCAGCATCATGGACATTAAGGTACAAGGTACATGTGATTGTTTTCCTAGTTACAAATATTCCCAGTCTTGTTCAATCGACAGTAAAAAAGAGCTTTAAACCTAAAAAACTTCAGCTTCCTGTAGAAATTTTTTTCTGATTTTGGCATAAACAAGGTTATAATTTACAGCAGTGCATATTGCTGGCAATATAGCAACTTAAAAGATAAAGATTTTCAAGTCAACTGCTTGAAATTAATGTTTTAAAAAACATGACGAGAAATTATGACTACAAATATTTTTTTCCCTGATGCCACTTGTCAAGTGTAAAAAGTACTTTTATTTAATGTACTAAAGTGTGGGGTAATATGCACATTGAATTAGAGATCAAAGACCACAATATCTGTGATAAATAAACAATTTGCTGTTTTAAAACAGTTAAAACAATTCTAAAATGTGTTGGTTATAAACCTTTTGTTTTTCATATTCTGAAGCAGTTTTTAAAGAAATGTTACAGATCTAACACCTTTATGTTTTGGGAGGTTGTACAAAATTCCAACTTTTGACAGAGGAATGTAGGATTCCAATACAGGGTTCCCAATCTTATTTCGGTGTGAATTCATTTTCTCGAACTTCTTATGCATGTTTGAACCCTTCAACCAAAAAAAAAAACTTTCTCCCAAAAATCCACTAAGAATTTTCTACATGTCTAAAATCTTAAAGAGAAAATATTTCAACTGAACACACCAAAAGAGCTTTTGGCATTACTGGGCTATACTTTGACCTGTACAACAATAGCTGAATAAAACAGTGAATCACAAGTTAATAGTTCAGGACATACTAGTTAAACATCTCATCTCAGAGATTCTGATTTAGAATGACTGCATTTAAAAAAAGCACTTAAACTGTACAAATAAAACCACATTTTTTCCCCAAACTCCACTAAGTCTCCCAAGGGGAATAATGTGCATTTGCCCCCCTAAGATAATTCAGAGTTCCTGGAATTCACATTAGCTGGACTGTAATTTGATCAGTCCACTATATCTGCTTTGTATTTGCCAGCTAAATGTCAGGGCAGGCTCCAAATGAAGTTAAAGAAATAAAAAACTAACACTAAAACAGGAAAAAGGGGGGTGCCAACCCAGTAACAGCAACTGAAAATCAGGCCATAGCTGGCTTGACTTTTGCTTGGTAAAGGTTTATATCTCTTTGTCGTGCTTATCACTATTTCTGCCTAGTGGTTCAATGAAAATCTAAATATGAATAATGGGCATAACAAACTGTCACATATTTCTTTAGTTTTTGCCATGGAGTAAACCCAAACTGTGGCTGTACAGTCGTTTGTACCTGCTATCCTTCTGTATGGCATATGCATGTTCTCACCATTTCTCATATTATGGTTTTGTCTCGGTATTATGGTTTTCTACCACAGTTCAAAGATATGCTGTGCTGGTTAACTGAAGTCTCTAAGTTGCCAGTGTATGCATGTATGAGTAGTTGATTGCATACAAGTGCACCCTGTAATGGAATAACATCACCTAAATCAAGGGGGGAGATTCATCGTGAACCCTGACCCTGCTAGAAGCAGTGTAACCCAATAATGATAAAGCATTTACTGAAAATGGATGGCTGGAGTCTTATGTCAAGAAAAACTACTTTAAGTGACTTGATGTAGCACAGATTTGGATTTCCAAAAGATGTTCCATAACATCTGGCTTGGTTAATATTGGTACATTTTTTACTATTTATGTTTAAATTCAAATATACACCCCTCAACTTAAGGGAAAGTCAATATTAAATATACTCAGTATGGGACAACACAGAAATCACGTGAATGTGTACATTTCCAAGAAGCCAGAGATGCCAACCTTCTAGGTGTCAACTAAAGATCTAAAAACTATGTAACAGTAAGTCAATAATACTTTTAGTTCGGTTGGGTAGCTGCATCAGCATGCTTTAGGCCCCAAAGGAACAAGTAATAGGTTTATTCCATGCTGAAAAGAGAAGAAAGAAAACTTGTTTCGGCCACGTAGCTTTCTTCACACCTGAAGAAGGCTCCACGGCCGAAAAGTTGTGTTTTCTTTCTTCTTTTCAGCATGGAATAAACCTCTTTCTTGTTCCTCAATAGTACTTTTATACTACCACTGCCAGCCAGTAACATACATTTTTTCACTTCTTTTCATAGCTGTCAATTCATGTTAACTTTAACAAAAATCTACCTTGGTAGGTCTGATACACAAAGCGTCATGCCGCCGACAGTGGAGCCCCTCCATTCACCATTTATCATTCACGACCATAATGTAAGATGACTTTTCCACATATAGGAAACAGTAGGAAAGCATCTGGACCCAAACTTGTTTCAACAGCCACACTGAAATCTTGTGACAATCACCCTGTTTCCGTTTTTACAGATATTTTCAATATATCCCTTAAGCAGGATAAGGTACCACACTGCTTTAAAATGACTACTAGAATACAATGAATACAACTCTAGTACCTACAAAATCACCAGTGTGAGCCGCCTCAATGACTACAGACCTGTTATGATAGTTTTCCAGCGACTCATAGCCATTTTCCTATCTGATGTGCACTTGGACCCACGCCAGTTTGGCTACAGAGCAAGTGGGTCAGTGGATGATGCAGTCTCCATAGGGCTCCATGATATATTTCCTCAGGATTGTTTTATCACCTCTCCTGTACTCACTTGTATTTCACATTCTGTCACAATGAGGTGGTATAAAGGAAAGAAGCTGAATTAATTGAATGGTGCAGCCTAAACAACCTGCAGCTAAATGGCAGTAAAACAACAGAATTTGTTATGGACACTAGGTGAAGCAAGGAGCACTCTCACCACTATAAATCAATGGTCTGGTTGTAGGGGAGATGGAAAACTAAGCTCCTAGGCACCACTATCTCCAGCAGTCTAAAATGTGAGGTCAATACATTCATGGTCATGCAGGCTCATCAGAGGCTATTCTGAGACATTTTAAGAAATATGGAGTGTCACAGGAAGAAATTACTCTCTTTCACAGATCTGTCATGAACCTTCTCCATCACTATGTGGTATGGCAATACTTCTGTCCAGGACAAGAAGCGGCGAGAGAGTAGTGTATACTGCATTCAAAATTGTAGAATGCCACCTTGCCCTGTGGACTTACTCTACTTCTCTAGACTGAAACAAAACCCTTCCCACCCTGCCCAACTTCTGATTACTTTCCACCCCTCCCGTAAGCAGGTTAATGCTATCAAGACAAGGACTGGTAACAGGTTTTGTAACAGGACAGTATGTTTGTATTGTACAGTATGTCTTTTAATTGTATGGGCTCAACAAACCAAATTCTATGCAACTAGTTATGGCAACAAAGTACTAAACTTCCAAATAAAACACCACACAACATATAGCAAGTACCCAATTGCTACTTCATCCAGGTAAGGATGCCCAGCCACAGCTTTGTTGAAAAAACTGGACATGTTATGACTATATTCTGTCTCAATGTTCCACAACTAGTCATGAAAGAAAATTACATTTCTGTGCCAAAAGGAATGGCAGCCAGGTAACATTTATGCAAGATCTTAATAAAGCAGGTGATGGGGAATGTACTTCTATTGCACAGACAAGGGAAAGTTTACATTTCAAGTAAGATATATAAAATTATAGTTTTATCTTAAGAATAAAACAATGCTTACATGTGTAGCCATTTGCAGTAAGTAAATTTACTTTTTTCCCCAATTTGAATTATTTGAATAATAATTTTGTAGTCAAAGTAACTGTCCTGTCTAAAAAATATGCAGTTATGCAGTTATGCTTTTCACTGTGCACAATTTAGCAAGAAACAATATCTGGAGCATGTTAAACTATATAGAGAAAATAAAACTCCATCTGTATATAGCAGTTACATATGTAAAAAACTGAGCATTTGTCTCTGATGTGCTGCATTATATTCTTCCGGCCTATCTCTGGATGATCATAACCCCCATTTTAGAATCTCTGATTACCTTCAAAAACATCTGTCATTTTGCAAATCTGGGCAAATGTTGATCCGTTGGCCCAAGTATAGACCACATCCATCAAATGGGGGCGGAAAGAATTGAGGTACATCTCTTCATCAACTTCCAGCTTGGCTTCTGCTGATACTTTGGCTATCCGCTTAGCACATTCCTGAAACCAAAGATTTAGACAAGTACTAATTAGGAAACATTTCTGGCTTTAGACACTTACTACAACATCAATAAAAAGAGATCCCCCAATAATAAAACTGCAACAGTATATATATATATGCATAATAAGTACTGAAAACACATTCTCTTAATTTCTATCATTGGGTTTGAATATGTAATGCATTTCTATTAATTTCTGTTATCACAAGAGATTTTTTTTTTACTTTGCACAAAGTTAATTTCAACAACAGGTTAATTGTACAATTCCTTGGTGCAATTTAATAACTTTTTAAATACAAATGTATGTCTCAAAGATTTGCATATACATTTTTGAACACCGATTTATGACAAACTGAAAACGTCTTACGAACTATCATTTAGGACATTAAATACAAAACCAAACGATGTTCGGTTTTAGCCTTTTACACTGCAACTTGTAAATTGGCCCATTTTTATCTTATTTTTTGAAAGTCCTTTAAGACATTTAAGACAGACATCTAAAATTTTTAAACTGTACTAACTGGCAACATCAAATTAGAATCCATGTATACTTTTAAGGGTTTAGGTTTGTTTGAAAATTATTACCAAGAAGATAGAAGTATGTGGAAGCCAAAAACGTAAAAACATTCATGATAAATATCGAGATAGAAGGAGTTAATAGCTCACTGAAATGAGCCCCCCAACATGGCATGGCAGATGCAAGTTCCAATGCATCTACTGTGCTATGTTTGAGCCACTACAAGTACTGTTTCTGCTGCTTTCATTTCTGAGATAAGCAATACTTTTCTGGCAGGAGTGACATCAATCAGCTTCCCCAACAATGGTGCAGGAAAACCAAACCCATTTCATTTGTTTAAATTGTTTAAACAAGGGTATATGCCGCTTTGTATTCTGAGATGTTAGAAAATCCTTTCTGGGAAGTGATGTCACTCAGCACATCATGTTTGCCCTTTTGAAAACAGCACAATTTGTTGTGCTATTTAGCCGATTTTGATACCTACTAATTGCTTTCTCAGTCTGTTCAGGTATAGGAGATCTTCTTCATTTAAAATGATTGACGATTATCTATTATTGGTCTGTGTGCATAGTGCATTAATTATAAAATTACAACTATCTTTGTATTATCCTTTTTTAAAAAGGTGGAAGTTAAAACATTTTCATTTTTTTTCTGAAGTCTTCAAAGCAATGTAATTTTAAAAGGTGAAGAACTGTTTAAATTCCATACTTAAAAGATTAAAATGAACAAATTAATGCAAATTCTTAGATTAAAAAATAGTGTTGTATCTAATCATTGTACTTTGTAGGCAGCTAATACATAAATGGAGAAAAGTACCAGACTACTAGAATACATTGACACCTGAGGAAGGCTCCACAGCCGAAACGTTGCGTTTCCTTTCTTTTCTTTTCAGTGTGGAATAAACCCGTTACCTGTTCCTTATTAGAATACATGTCCACCCTGGTACTACTATGGGCTGAGTTTAAGTCAATAAAACACTGTAACATATATAAATGTCATCTTGCAACATGGTTGAGTTGACTACTCCTTTGAGGAACTCATTATAAGAACCAATCATGAAACAAATATGTAGAACATGACATACTAAAAGCTCATTATTTCATTATATCACAACTACCTCAAAAAGGTGAATGCATTATAGAAGTCAACAAAACATTGTAAATGCTACCACCTTACACTTGTTTGTAGGCGGGAGCAACTTGATGGGTTGAATGAAATCATTCCCTAAACAAATAATTCCTTGCTGGTGCTGCTATGGTTTCTAAGATGCATTACTTTTAATGGCGTACACAGGCACAAACGCACAAATACAGTAAATGAATTGGGAGTCACTATTTGTACTCTTTGAAGGGGAAAAAGGCAACTTCATGGAACTGGTCATAAAATATTTGATCAAACATAGTAGCAGTGTGATTCAACAAAAAGTGAAATATAAAGGCACTCTCCTTCTCAACTATCTTAGCTAAAGACTTTGATTCTCACTCTACCATTAATGAAAATTTATTGACTTTGTGAAAACAAACCCCAGTATTGGAAAAGTTTGCCCCATCTCTGTGTTGATCAACTCATTTGCATCTGCTGCTCTGTTGCTCCAGATTAAATATTTAGCCAGTGTGTACTATTCACAGATTACATCTAAGTACTCGTTCTACAATTTTGCAAATCTAACTGTAGTAACTAATTTTATGTGCTGTACATACAGCACTATATTAGCATAAGTAGCACACTGTATCCTTAAACAACATAACTAATAACTGTTTTCAACCCCTCAACTGTTGTCTGACACGAGAACACTTTAAAATAGCCTTCCTACATTTTTCAGCACTGTGCCAAGATGACATGCCCAGCTGCTGTGTGTGTGTGTGTGTGTGTCACAGACAGAAAAAGGACAACGAGGGGAAGATCGTGAAAGTTTATCCAACACTATTTTAGTGCAACAGGCATACCTGCATCTGCCGCAGAGGTCCTGCCAGCTGCTCCGTCATCTTAGGCATTTCATTGGCCTGGAAAAGAATCAAACAGTTTTCATAACACTGAGCACTATGAAACTTTGGATTCATTGCTTTCATATACTTCTTTTACAGATCCACTGTAACCCATAATATACCCATTAGTATAATTTTTAAGAACAAGGAATTAAGGAATATTAAGGTATATGAAATTTAATTAACTCTGGTCATTTCACTACAATACAAAGCACAACTTTCCAAGACTTGTACTTCTGTTCTTCCAACTTCTAATTCTGTTTTGAGGTCATAAAGTCACCATTAATCGGTCACAGACAGGTGCGTAAGACTTCTAACTTTGAACTATGAAACAGCTGTGAATATATGTACTATATCTCTTACAAAAAGCAACTTTCAAGGTTATGTGTATAAATATATATTATATCCTGCTAGGATATGAGCACAGTCGCTCACAGAACACACAGTGCCTCTCCGTAAACAGAGGCCTAAAGTGATGGTGTCTGGGAGTGTGTAGTTGACACAGAGCTTAACTTGCAGTGATTCCTTTTCTGAGGCAGGTTACAATCCAATTCATGAAGAATCTAAATGATTAAAATTAATAATTGATTCTTAAAGTAATAGACTTGACACAAAAACACTTTAAACGTTATAAGCCTAATTATTTTTTTTAATGAAAAAAGTTTTTCATTAAATGAAATGCCAAAAAAGCTAGGTGCTGAAAAAACAAACCTTCCACTTTTAAATAGAAAGCAGTGCTGTGACTGCTGTAGCTTTATTAATGGGAGCCTCTCTTGCTTCCATTCACAGAATACACACAGATTAGTGTCAACAAATTTGAAAATAGTGGATAATGTATATTGTTTATTAAATTAAAGAAAAATGATTAAGCACCTAATTTTCCCTCATTTTCTTTTTTCCCCATTAAAAATGTGATCATTATTCCCATTGACATAGTGGTATTACATTTACAAAAGAGAAATATTAATGTAGGTGTTTACAGCATTGCTGTAAAAATGAACTTATTATGAAGCTGTGTAATAACTACAATACCACACTTGTATTCACTTGTATACAGTTCTTTTATAGCGTTTTTAACATGTTAATACTTTAGTTACAGGCAGGCATATGCGAAAAGGGCAACATAGTGAGCTTATGCACCCAGAATTAAGAAAACACTTTGCCGTGACATACATGGAACAAGGCAGTTTATAAAAACAGGGAAAAAATAACTGAACTGCAGTGCTTTATAACATTTAAGATCAAGCACCAGTGTCTCATCATAACTGAGCACTGCAAACTACTTTGTCAAAGAACCATTTATGGCCCTCCTGCCATTCCCAGCTGCACAAACACATCCACATTGGCACAGTCTGAAGAGCATCATTCAGACTCTCTCAGACACACAGCCAATGGGAAGCAGAATCCATGTGTTTCGATTTCCCAGGATAGTATTTCGCCAGTGGGTCAACTGAGGAAACCAATTGCCTTTTCTATTTAATGGCTCTGCTCATGATGCTCAGAGTTCATGCAGGGTATTTTACTTGAGTGGATCAAGACCTCTTGAGATGTTGAAACACAAATGAGCTAGCATGCTGTTTTATGTTGTTTAACGTGTTAAAACACTCAGAATAATTAAATAAACAAATTCCTCTATAATTAGGTACAAGCAACTACCATCTATTTTTTTTAAAGTACAGTGAACCAAAAAAAACATAACAAGCAAACAGATCTTCTGAAAAACAGTTACATATTGGAGTTAAACATAGCTTCTATAAACACAGAAACGTTGACTTTGACATTTCTTTACCATTTGCTAAAAAATTGCAGAATTACATAAAGATATAATTAAAAGCAGAAAAATCAATAAGCATAAACAAGCCAAGATTTCAAAATGCTGTCTTGAAATTGGGATCTTCCTTCAGTCAGGATGTACTGAACTATAGTATTTTTAATTAAATCTGTATGAACAAAGTATGCTCTGTTTAACGCATCGTAATGTACAGTGCCCTCCAGGATTATTGGCACCCTTGATAAAGATGAGCATAAAAGGCTTGTTGGTTATCAGCTTGATCTTACACTGAAAATATGAGAGAAATCTAACCTTTCAGTGAGGCAAAATTATTCAAAGAAAGAAAATCCTTATAAAAATAAACATTTTTCTCGAAAACACATTTCACAATTACTGGCACCCCTAGAAATTCCTATGAACAAAATCTAATTGACATATATTCCCGTTTATATTTGTCCTTTTTTAATCACATATGTTTAGGAACTTTTAAGTGGTGATCCTTGAGTTCCTGTTTCACTGGGGTATAAACATGAGGTGACATGCAGGCCAAACACCCTTAGTCATCTATCAACATGGGAAGATAAGAGAATACATAAAATGAAATTAAACAAAAGGTTCTTGACCTTCATAAATCAGGCAATCACTATAAAAATAGCTTCACACCTGCAAATAACCATCTCCACTATTAGGGCAATAATTAAAAAGTTTCAAACAACTGGAGCTGTGATGAACCTGCCTGGAAGAGGACGGAAATATATTTTGCCCTCTCGCCCAGTGAGGAGGATGGTTTGAGAGGCAAAACTTTCTCCAAAGATCACAGTTAGACAATTGCAGGAGTTGGTTACATCCTGGGGTCACCAAGTCCAAAAAGCATAATTAGACGCCACCTCCATGCCAACAAACTATTTGGAAATCTTGCCAAAAGAAAGCCTCTGCTGTTGTCAAACCACAAACATAAGCGCCTGGTGTTCGCTAAATATCGCAGGAACTTTGATTGGAACTTAGGTCTATGGTCAAATGAGACAAAAATAGAGATTTTTGGCAACAATGGGTTTGGCATAAAAAGAGTCAAGGTCATACAGAAAAGAACCTAATCCCCACTGTGAAGTATGGTGGTGGATCTGTGATGTTGTGGGGCTGTTTTTCTTCCAAAGGCCCTGGGAATCATGTTGGGATACATGGCATCATGGACTCCCATCAAATACTGGAAGATTTTAGATCAAAATCTGTCTGCCTCTGCCAGGAGGCTAAGACTGGGTCATGGTTGGATCTTCCAGCAGGACAATGATCCAAAGCATACCTCCAAATCTACACAGAAATGGTTCGCTGACCACAGAATCAAGCTTTTGCAGTGGCCATCCCAGTCCCCTGACCTAAACACCATTGAAAACCTGTGGGGTGAGCTGAAGAAGAGAGTCCACAAGCGAGGACCAAGTACCCTGAAGGATCTGGAGAGATTTTGTATGGGGGAATGGTCACAAATCCATTTATATGCGTTCTCCCACTTCATCCAGCATTATAAGAGAAGACGCAGTGCTGTTATCTTGGCAAAGGGAGTGAACTTAATGCAGAGGTGCCAATAATTGTGACACATGTTTTTAAGAAAACAAATCTTTGAATAATTTTACCTCACTGAAAGGTTAGATTTCTCTCATATTTTCAGTGTAAGATCAAGTTGATAAACAACAGACATTTTTAATAGCCTTGTTTGCTCATCTTTACCAAGGGTGCCAATAATTTTGGAGGGCACTGTGATTGCATCTCAGAAAAGTATTGATTTGAATTGACAATGCTACAGTTACATCTATAGTGTGTTGTGTAAAGAAAAGGGAAAAACAGCTTACATTTTCCTGGAACACAAAACAGCTGAGCAAAGCTGTTGCTTGTTCAGAAGTTAGGTCATTGAAGAGGCCATTAAAAATCATTTCTGTCAACAGGAGTTCGTCCGCACTGTAAAACAACGAAGATAAAAGTTAGAATATAAAAGAACCTGATTTAAAGTTTCTTCAGTACTAGTTGAATTTCAGTTGGGAACATACAGTAATTTAGCACCTTAACTCCCTATTGACTTAAACTGAAAATAAACAAGTGAGAACTGAAATTCTGGGAATGACCAAACGGTACTAAAATGAATGCTTTTCTCAAAAGGTGTTTCTGCTCAGCACCATTCTAGAAATTAGAGTCTGCAAAATTAGAAGCTGTGACTAAATTTATTAATATTCTGCTAAATTTAGTTTTGATGATTTGCTGAATCCTGTCTCCAACTTCATAAAACAACATGTTAAAGTCAACCCTTTTCAATTTGAGTCTTTTATTATGTTACTAAAATTAGCAGAATAAAAATTATTGCAGTGTTTTTACTAGCCAGCAGCATATTAAAACGATCTAGACCGAAAATAATACCTTCACCTTTTTCGTCATTAACAACAATATTGATAATTGACATCCTGACTAACTAAAAAACAACTCTGCGCATTAGTCATTTTACTTTCATTCTAAAATTACTTCATAAAATTGTCACAGACTTAAATGGATGGAAATTCAGATAACTTCATCACTAGAAAACTGTTTATACCTGGTAAGTACCGAGATGGACTTTTGGGTTGCCACAAAAGCAAAGTGTGCAAGGCAGGATACCAGTCCATCACATTGCAGAAACTTGAGCCAACCCCCCCCCATCTAGGTTCAACTAATATGAAGGTGTCCTGAGGTTAAAGCTCAACGGGTAAATTTAAATCCATAACACATACTAACAAACGTTTATAAATTTTAAACGTGCATATTGAAAATACATTATGGGTCATTCTCTTTGGTTTTAACATTCAGCATGTCTGGAAAACCTGTGTTTTCTTTTATCTTCATAGACTCTAATGAAGCAGCTCTCCTCCAAATTAATAAATACCTTTTACAGTTTAAGTCCTACTTGGCAGCATTACACTAAATTTTAATCCAGCACTTTATTGCATTCTCCATTATTTACAGTATATAATACCACATGCAGCAGACTGCAGGGGAAATCTATTTAGATACAATCATATAAAAATCTAAAAAGGCTTTAGTCATCTCATACCTTTTTACTGTTAAAATATGGAAGACATTAATTTATATTTATAGTAAGGAACAGTTGCCTACTGTTGATTTGAGTAACAGAATTGCTAGATGGTAACTTGATCCTCCCAAAGCTCAATACGTTTGTCTCTAAACTGTAGCAAACTGTGTGGGAGTTTTGCCACATGGACTGTTGTCAAATATGGTCTATTCCGAAATAACCAGGCTAATTCTGTATAAAGCCGAAGTGCAATAGAAACAGAGGAAGGGAAGAAAATCCATCTAAGACATCAAGGTTTCAGTTCAAGTGAATACATGGTATTGTTGCTAAATTATTTTCAGTGAAAAAATAGTTGTTAAATGGAAAAAAACTCACCTGCTGATTTCACATGCAACGCGTCCTTTCATCTCAATGACATCAGAGGAGGTTGAAAAACCCAGCCGCCTAAGGACTCGTTTTCGGCACTTAAGTTCATCCATCTGCAGCACTGTCCTGGCTTTCTTCAGCTCTCTCTTTGCTGCCTTTAGGTCTCCAGCAATCTGAAATTTCAAAGAACATCCCATAAAGACTGCTGAATGATGCTTAAATTGGGACTCTAATATTGTTAAAATATGTACAAATGTATCAAAAAGGTGTTAGAATGTATGTACATGAATGCTAAAGAGCTCTGTGCAAGTCCCTCAGAGTACCCATAAGAATTTAGAAAATTAAAATCACTTAGTCAAATACAAGCACACAGTTGTTTCTGGAACACCTAATATGAATATAAATGACGGTCATACTGTAGCTTGTTTCAAGATATAGCTCTAGATATATTGTTCCCAACCCTGGCCCTGGAGTAACTATCTTCTGGTTTTTGCTCCAGGCGTTCTTAATCACAGACTATGATCATTGATACAGTGTCTTTCCTACCAGTGTCTGTTCATCATAAACTGATCACCTGGTAGGAGACGTTTAACGAGAAATACTGGCAATCAAGCTGAGGGAAGGCTGTGTAAAGTTCTGCATGCTGATATTAGTGGAAACAGTAGCAATGAGGCAGGGTATTTTTTAAACTCAAACCGATATAATATAAACAAAAAACAGATCACATAAGTAATCAGTTAGGACCTGAGCTTTAAAGCTCAGTTGGAATGAAGACCAGCAGGCATTGCATTCCTTCAGGGTTGGGAACTACAGCTCTAGAAATCAGTAGCTGAAAACACGGTTTGTTTTGCAGGCAGCATGGTTGTGCAGTGGTTAGCATTGTTGCCACTCAGCACTGGTGGCCTGGGTGCTCCGATTTCTCCCCACAGTCCAAAGATGTACTGGTAGATTAACCGGCTTCTGGGGAAACTGGCCATTATGTGAGTGTGTGCATGTTTGTGTTTGGGTGGGCCCTGCAATGGACTAGTGTCCTGTCCAGGGTGCATCTTGCCCTGAGCCCTGTGCTTGCCGGGATAGACTCCAGACCCTCCACAAGACTGTATTGGATAAAAGTTAGGAAATAGAGGATCCATAGGTTTGGCTTGGACACATTTTCCATGTGTCTAATGTCTAGTAAATGTCTAGCAAAATCAAATCACTAGAATTAATTGTGGTCTTTGCATAGCATCTCTCACATTACATTTGCATGGTAACCCAATATATTAAACTAATAAAAATAAATACAGTATTAGTAAAATACAATATTTTAATAAGATGACTAAATATGGGAATGTGACTTTTTAGCTGTGCATCATAATAACTAAAAATAATGACTAAAAAGGGTCACTCACACCATGAAATGAAAACAATGGAACTCAAAAATTAGGCTTCTTAATTAAAACCATAATAGAAAGCTTTTATCAGCTGAACAGCTGTTTAACAGCCAAACAGATATGAGAAAGAAGGGCTCTATACATCTTCCATGTAAGGCAAAAGGAATGTGAAATCATAATTACTTGTCATGAATACTAAGTAATACAGTATTTACCGAGACATCACTTACTGAAGGAAATGTGTTATTATTTTAATGTTCTTCAAAGAGTGTTTGGCTGTTGATTAAAGATATTCTCTAATCTAATGTTTAAACTTCCAAATAACCAAATCTAAAGCTGTCATGACAGTCTATTTAAGGAAAGCTCTCAATTGTAATACCACATGTCCTTACTCATGCTCAATCTGGATGACACACTCTAGAAGTTAAGTAGCAGCTGCATTATGTAGTGTGAGCTATGTATGCAGTGGTAATAATAAATTAAGTAACACATAACACAGGTACTTAAAACACTCCGCTTTCACAACTATATTTACTGAGGAACACCAAAACAAAAATGTCCAGGTCTCCAAACATACCTATTAAAGTTATTAGTATTTATTTTTAGATTCACTCTAGTGATATTTGTTCATCTCCAACTGTTTCATACAGTTTAGAAACTGTTTAAAAACCAAACCTATGGTATGAAGATAGATAAATATTAAAAACTGTCAAGACTGACTCAAGGACAGGTATAAGGCTACTCTCTCACCTGCCTAAATGTTCCTTACATTTAAATCTAAATGTTTTGATAGACTTGGAATTCTGGTTCCTGACAGTTTGCAGATACAATCAGTGCCTCATAAGCCACAAGAATAGTTAAGGCTTACCTGTGCTTTCTTCTCACATAGCTTGTACACGGAGTCCAGGTTAGGGTCATTATGTAGAGGGTGCGAGTACATCCTGTGCTCAAAGGCTTCTACTTTCTGGATTACTTTCTTCAGCCCCTGGTCCTTGATTCCCATATCGTCAATGGGATCCAGAAGAGGTATCCCATCAGGAAAACGTTTTTGCACTTCCTGGGATGAACATACATTGATTCATATTAGGTAGTAGTGCATATTGCCAACCAAGTACCAAGTCCATTGTCACCTCAGAAGTATTAACCCGATGGAGTGATGGGATAATACGCATTTACAATTTTTAGTTTTAAAAATGAATGTGGTTATTGAAGTTCTCAATTAGAAAAAAGGGAAAAGAGGGAAAAATATAGCAATTTAAAAGCAGAAACCCAGTCCTTCTTGGGCATTGAGCAAAACTAAGATATACAGAAAAGGCAGCAGCAATCAACACAATGTGACTGCTGGCACCTACTGGCAAAATTACTAATTCTTCTAAACTGACCTGGAGTCGCTTAAAATAGAAATAGCCAAGAAACAAAACAGGGTCTGCTTCTACGCGTTTCTAGTTCTTCAGGTACTCTTCTGTAACTTCAGAAGATATAGGATCATAGACATGGCCTGGACTCTGGTGCCAGTCTCTGTCCTAGAGAAAACTTGTTGTCAGGGCCAGGATGACCTGAACATAGACCGCCACATATTTCTTTAACAGTTATTGGCTTACAATCTGGCTACTGTACCGCCAAGCTAAACATACAGTGGTGTGAAAAAGTGTTTCCCCCCCTTCCTAATTTCTTATTTTTTTGCATGTTTGTCACACTGAAATGTTTCAGATCAAACAAATTGAAATATTAGACAAAGATAACACAAGTAAACACAAAATGCAGTTTTTAAATGAAGGTTTTTATTATTAAGGGAAAAAAAAATCCAAACCTACATGGCCCTGT